GGCTTATCGTTAGGAAGCTTTATGAAAGCCGAATATCTGTGAGAGTAAAAAAGAATCGATTCAACAGGCGGTGTCATCAATTTATGTGGTACACTACGGTCCACTTCAACCATAGCACTAAACGCCATCTTATACATAGTGTTCGTAGACATCGTCCGAAGATGTATGGCTGCTAAAGTTGCTATCAGACTCAGAGAATCAGGGTTTTTAAAAGAACACGTGTCTAAGCTCTCGGAAATCTTCCAACACTTTTATTTCAAACCAGACCATTTGAATCATGAAGTCACCAAACCGAGCTCTGGCGACTCCTTCTCTGTCCTTATATTGGCGAGAGCGTTGTGAGAGAAAAGAAGCTGTTAAGTGAAGAGGGGCAGTGAGCTTCTTTACGGATGAGTCGAAGCTTGGGGGGGAAATTGGTGGAGGGGTTTAATGTCGGACGCTTTCTATCAACTCCAGCTTCAGATTTCCTCACTATTGCTGTGTCTTAGAAGTTGAGATTGCGCCCATTAAGGTAGCAGCAGATTTACTACTAAGGAGATCAGCCTTCTTCAGAGAAGTGACAGTCTACTCAGGTACTAGCCTTGAAGTCATTAACAGTACGTCCATAAATGATAGGAGTGCTTTACCACGCTATTAATAGCATCGAGTGTCTTTATGATAAGACTGGTATGGATGCCAGGCCACAATGAACTCGCAGAAAATTGTAAAGCTGATGAGCTAGCAAGAAAAGGCACTCTGAAACTGTAGAGTGGCAGTGAGTCCTCTTGAGTTCTACTACTAGATAGCTTTGATTCGCGGGAGCTTGGCCAGCGCTTGGTCACCATCGGTATATTCGCAGTCACAAAATCCAGGCTGTAAAGCTGGGCATCTTTGGAAACATAACTTCTCCTAAAAATATTAAATTAATAGCCATGAATTTTTCTAACTGCTCTAAACCTATTAATAGCATACAATTTTCGATCGTCTGGCAACTCTTTCCGGTCTTTTTACGTAATTTATAGCAGAAGTGTAATTGTATTTCATACATATGTACATATATATATATATGCATGATCATGATAGTGCAAGGAGTTCCCAAGGCCCTCTTGATTGTTTTTTACCAGTGTTCCGCATTACATGTTCATACATATGTACCTATGTATGCACATTTTCCATACTTAAAATTTTCGCGAAGTTTACGATCAATTATTTATCAAAAGTGGGGACTTGTGAGATTTTCCGTACGCCATTCAAATGTGTAAACACCAAATAACACCGAAAAAATATCTGCAATTTTGCCAAATTTACTTTGTCATAAAGTTAAATTTTGCTAATATCCGCTCTTAGCACTGCGACAAAGAGCGTGTTGATCAAAGAAACACATTCATGCATACCAAAAAAAAAAAAAAAAACTGTAAAGCTATTAAACAATTGACCATAGTTAGGGGCCTCATCAGGCAAGTACAACAGCAAGCACTTGATCCATGGAAACCACACTTCGGCGATATTGGCATTCTACATGCAAGTGTTTGTGTTTTATGTGTGTATGATATGTATGTTTGTTGTATATGGCAACTTATGCTCTTGTGGCGGCTTATCAATTGCAACAGCTTTATGTAGATAAATATGTATGCATAAAAAGCACAGCACTTATTTATACATCCATACATATTTCATGTATATATGTACACTGCAAATAGACGAACAGCCTGTTTGACGCCGCAATTAAATCAGCCGCGAAAGCAATTAAGTGTTCACTTTTAGAATTGTAACAGTTTGAAAATATTTACCAACATATATTGGTTATTCCCAGCGTCAAGCCATTGATGCTTCTTCGCAGTGCAAATACAACATAAGTGCGCACATACATACGCACAAAGTTATGCACACTTATAGTATTTGGTTTGCTGATGCTCGGCGCTTTGGCTTGTATGCTCACATTTTATCCCTGACATTCTTTTGCACACTCAGCGACATTCGCACACACACACACAAATAAACATACGCGACGTCTTCACATCTAGCATCTCTGCACTTAATTTTTCACCTTCTTGGCTTAATCTTTTCTATTTCTACTTCTTCTATTTTGTATGTACATATTTTTTTGTCTTTTATACTTTTTTCACTCTCGGTTCAAGCAAAGTAAAACTGTTAAAAAAATAAATAAAAGAAATGACAACAGATTTTATTGTATTTTAAATGCAAATTAATAAAAGTTATGACTGAGAACTTGGCTTGATTTTTTATGCTAAATACTAGAAGAGACTAAATTTGACCAGTTAACCTAAAGAAATATAAAAATTTGTTACTTTACTTTTGATATTTAAACTTGACATTTATAAATATACACATATACGTACATAATACGAATATACTTAATTATTCACCTAAGTAAGTGTAACATATGGTTATAATAGTTTGATAATACTAACCGAAACAAAATCATTCTTTAGGCGACAGATGCTGATTCATTTTGACAAGAGTGACATTTTTTGAAATATATACAAGTATATATATTTTTGTAATATATAATGTATGAATGATTAAAGATATCCAAATAATTTTTCCCCTTGCCCTATTAACCCCTCATCGGTATTTTAAATAGTCTTCTGAAAGGGAGTAACCTTAACATTTATTCAGATCAACTCAAATAGTTACTTTTCGAATACAGAAAAAAGCAAAGAAACGTTAACTTCATCTATCCCGAAGCTATAATACCCTTCACGGTGGCGTTTCTTATAGCAAAGTAGGGTTTAAAAGGTGATAAAAAGATTTTAATCTGATTATGTTCGATCAATTTGAATAGCAGCTATATGCTATAGTGGTCCGATCTGTACAATTTCTTGCAAGATTATACCATTGTCTTCAACAATACCAGTTTTATGAAGATATCTCATCAAAAAAAAAAAAAAATTTCATACAAGCACTTGATTCCGATCATTCAGCTTGTATGGTATGCTATGGCGGTTCGATATCAGCGGCTCTGACAAATGAGACGCTTCTTCAGGATAAAAGGATGTGTGCAAAATGTCAGATGGATATCTCAAAAAGTGAGGGACTAGCTCGGTTATATACAGATAGCCACATAAATAGGAAGACATGGCTAAATCGACTCAGCTCGTCAAGGTGATATTTTATATAAATGAAAACAATTTAGGGTAGAAATACTCAAAAAATCCCCGTAATAATCAAACTGCTACGCAACTAATTCTCAAAAAAATATTCAAATAATATCAATGGATTAAATTATATTTTAAGAAGCGCCAATTAGTTGACGAAAATTTCCGCAGCAAAAGTTGACAGTTTCTGTCTAGCAGTTCAGCCATTTCCTGACAAACCGGTAACAGTTTTATAGGAACTTCAAAGCTATGATGCCACTATTTTCATTAGCATAAAATATATTTTATTTTATTATTACATTACCTTATATTTGTATATTAAACAAAAATATTTAATTTTAGAGTTATTTTTCAACTTTGAAAGCTTTGAAATTCAATAATATTTAAGGTCTATCTATATCTATCATAGAGGAAATATATTCCTCAGAATATCACCTACATCAATTCTTTTCCATTATTTCTATTCACTGAACTTTTTAACGAAAATTATACCAAAAACTAAAAAATAAAGAAAATCGCTGAATTCGTTTGACCACAATTCCATTTGAAAAATGTTTCTACCTGGACATAATAAGTAGTATATTATAAATTTAATATATCTGAAGTAAAACACTTTTTTGAGATGTTTTATGGGCTATATTTATTTATGAAAGGAACATTATAGAAAAAAATAAACTTTTACCCGTACCTGTATACAATTTTCTTCATCGTTGATTGGCAGGCTGTCATACCACATTCCCCAATAAACGCAGAATTTGATAAGAGCTTCGAAAGAAAACATTACTAAGTTGGTAGGACTGTCTTTAATTACTCTGAGCGTGATCTGTTAACAAAGAATTTGTCTCAAATTTTGTATTACCAAATAAATTTTGTGTGCTGTGAGAAAAAAAAGCCGAACCAACAAAAAAAAAAAAAAAAAAAAAAACACTATAAATGCGCAAACATTATTATTGCACTAATTTTCTCCGACACTCGGGGTTTGGTGCATCATGAATTTTTTCCGTAGGGACAGGGGTCAGGAGTTCTACTTGGCTGTATAGAGGCGACCTTCGAAAACGGCCGGAATTTCGTATTAACCAGATTTGGCTCATTGTGAAGTTTTATAGAATCTGTTCAACAAAACTGTCTAATTTATATTAAGAGGCATCAATGAATTCTTTAGACGTTCCGCCCAACATAATTTGCAAACAATGAAGTTTATTGCGAATAAAACTAGCGATTGCACTCGTTTGTTTTCAGCACACTTTCGTCAAAAAAAAAAAAAAAAAAAAAAAAAAAAAAAAAAAAAAAAAAAAAAAAAAAAAAAAAAAAAAAAAAAAAAAAAAAACTCGTTTTTGGCAGATAGTAAGCATAACAAAAGAAAAAGGAAATAGAAAATGATCACATGGAATTTTTCCGATCTTCAACTAACTCTTTGACTAACCAGCTACCTACAACTGAACGTGATCAACTTGACCGTACTCAAAACGATCATCAGTGAACCAATAAAGTCACTGCAATTATTGCTCTAATAGCAAAAATAATGCAAGTTGACAAACGAGGCGGATAACCTCCTAACCTCAGCGACCGACTAAGCAGCAACAGCAGCGCCACCAACACCACTGCCAGCAGCTGACGAAATGCTAAAGGCGGCGTTGACATACAAACATATTAACAAGCGTACGCTTCTCGTCACATGCGCGGCTGCATCGGCGATTAGCATTCGATACACACACATACACATGCAAACACAAGCGTTTGACGAGCAACAATAGCGCAGCGTTCCAAACTAACAATACATAACCAAGCTTAGCGACAAGAAGAAGTACAAATTCTACACTCGCACACACCCTAGCTCATACGACGAGTACGAGTAAGAGAATACAAATACATCGGCGTTTGGCTGAAGCATTCGAAACATTAAAAGACAGCACATTTGAATTGTCTTTAAAATTCGGTGTAATTATTTCTAGGCAAACTGTTTGTCTACTGACTTCATACAGTCAACAACGAACGCACTGATCATCGGCGGTAACGACAACGACCACGACGATCGATAGTGTGCCCGAGCATATTCTAAGCGGAGTTTAAGCAGAGTTTTTGTTTAGTGACGTGAACGTCGCGTTCGATCGTATTATCCTTGCGCGTACAGCGAGGCTTTAGAATAACAACAAAAACACGTGCGGTGTGTTTAACGAAATAGAAGAAGAAAACAAGAAATGTAACATTAAACTGATTGTTTAAAAGAGAGTCATTTGAAAATTAATAAAAAAAAAAAATTATAATAATTAAAAAATAAATAAAAGTAAGAACTTTGTGTGGACTGCATTGCAGATTGAATTGTATACCTTTAGTGGAATTCCTAAATGAGAATTTTACAAAACAAAAGGACATCGAGAAAATAACACAACTATTATTTTTCATTAAAAAACTTAAAGGAGCATAAGAAATTAAGGTGAGCCAACGAAAGCCAGAAATTTTAATCAAAAATTGACATTCTTTTGAAAAATAAGGATTTCACTTCCCAAAAAAATTATTTTTTTATTGTAAAGCTTTAAGCTTCCCCTAACGAACTGTTCAAAATGTTAAAGAAAAAGTTTTTATGTGCCAAAAAAAATAAAAAAATTTGAATTAAAATAATTCTGACCAATTTCGAAAATGTGCTGTAAATTATATAAAGTTTTATGACTATAATTATATATATTTATTGAGCACCCTACGCCATTAAATCGAATTGATTTACTATAAATATATGTTTTGTTAAAAATAAGTAGATTGTTGTTTTTGTTTTCGTTTTAAATACAAAAAAAAAAAAAATTATTGTATATACAATAACAAGTAAAATAATAAAAAATGTTATTAACATTTTATTTCATAATGAGTCTTGAGTGGCATATGCTCCAAGTTTTGAAGTTTTTTTCGAGCAGTTTATTAATTTATATGCGCTTTTTCTCGCTAACCGTTACTGATTGGAAATTTCGGGTCTATTTGCTTTCTTAAAAGAACTGTTCTTATCAGTCATAATTTCGAAATCATCGTCAAAATGTAATCGTTTGGTCATAGTCTTCATATAAATTCATAATTTATAATTTTTTTTATAATACTTTTGTTTAGAAAACCAAAAATCCTTTTCCAACATTTTTTCCCCTATATTTAATTTCGAAAGCTAATTTTCCGAAACAGTACTCATCGGAAATTATGTATTGACTTGTTAGACTAAATAATAAATTGAAACTTATTTTCGGCAAAGTTCATCAAATTATTTCAATAACAGTTCTTACTATTATGTTATTTTTGATAATAAAAAAATCTTCTAAAAGCTCAAAAGTGATTTTCAGAATAAAATTAGAAAGATCACAAGGGAGTTAGGCAGAGTTTCATTGCTTTAACAATCCTTGTTTTATATATATATTTTATTACATAAGCAACTTTCGTTAAATTAGATAAATTTTAAAATAGTATAAATGTGTATGGTTGCAATTTTTTATCCAAAAATTTTAAAAATTTTTATTTGATAACACATAGATAAGTCATTAATGCAAAAGCTTTTGAATGAAAATAAAATAGGTTTATAAATTTAACATAAAGTTGATTGACTAACATTAAAAATAAATTAAAAAATTCATAGCAGTTATCGTATTCTTTATAAACTTAAAATTTATAACTTTAAAATTTTTAAACAAGTTTTAAAAAAAAATTTCAAATATTTTTAAAATTTTTCAATAAAAATTAACTAAATTTAAACTTAAACTTAAAATTTATAACTTTAAAATTTTTAAACAAGTTTTAAAAAAAAATTTCAAATATTTTTAAAATTTTTCAATAAAAATTAACTAAATTTAAACTTAAACTTAAAATTTATAACTATAAATTTTCAAACAAGTTTTCAAAAGAAGTTTCAAATAAATTTTCAAACCCTTTTCAAAAATTTTTCACTACTTATTTCTTACTATAGAATTAACTAAATTAATAATATTTTCAAAAGGTTTTTAAAATATTTTTCAAATTTTTTTTGGATACAAATTAACTAAATTTAATTCTTTTTCTCCGGAGTATTGAAACTACTCAAATAATCCTTCCATTAAAGTTATTTCTGAGAGATCCACCTTTTTAGGTTTTATAGACTATTTTCAGAAAAAAAAATTATAATAGTTAACATAAAATCAAATAAATCTTTAACAAATTTGTGCAACCAGTGAAAGTTCAGACCAGTTTCGGTGACGCATGCCATTAATTGTTCCTCTTCTGCTCCATAATTAGTTCAATTAGTTATGCAAAATTCTATTTTGAACAAATACAATAATCAGTTATGCGATTTCAGATGAAACTGGAATAATTATATATTTTTTTGTTTAAATTTTATTAAAACTTAATTCGCTTTACATTAAAATTTAAAAAATCAAAAAAGTTTTGATTACGAATTGTCTTTGGTACAGTTGTTATTTATTATTTATTATTGTTATTTACTTTTTATTCTAAAATTACGATATTTATAATATTAAAAAATTAGTTTTCGAGCTACTATTCGAAGCTTTCATACTTACTAAGTTTTACTAAACTTACATGCTCCATTTAAGTCTTAATTATATTATAAAAGAATACACCTTTTTATATAGTTAAAACCAGAATCCCAGAGAAATAAAAACTCGAGTCTGTTGATGACTTTGGTGTTTATAAAAAAAATTTACATAAAACAGTAGTATATGTCATCTTAAATACCACATATTTTAGTGTTAATAAATACACAATCCTTATTTCTATTTTAACGAAGTATATGCTGAGTTCTGTAACGGAATGTAAGAGGCCTGTTATACATTTTTTAAGCTTACAAGTTTACGGTTCATATTAAAACAGACACTTCCGTATTTTTGTACAAAGGAGATCCAAAAACAAAAAACAAACGGTTTATCAAGCGAATTTACATTTCCCTTCAATTTATAACTCGTTTTCGCAAAATCGTCATCTTACGGTATTTTAATGAACTTGCGGTAGTTTATAGGCCTATATTATAACTTTGTGTTCTTTATCGCTATAATTATACTACACATACTTAAGTGGGTCAGTCGAATTCGCAAAAAAAACTAATGAATATGGAATGGCAAAAAAATTTAGCCAATGGCCAGAATGGCCTATTGTGTTAATGTAGAAGTATTGAATAATAGATGAATTAATTAAATATTTAAATATTCTGAAATATTTCATAGAAGTTATGGAATCATGTTGGTCGCATATAAGTCACGCCAAAAAATGGCGAACTGTAAATAAAATAATTAAACAAAATAATTAAGCAAACGTTTAAAATAATTAAATATTAATATTGCAAATAAAAAGTATGTACAATATTGTCAAGCACAACATTAATTTACTCACCATAAAAGGGGATTCATTTCTCTCTGCCAGTTTGCCACGCACTCTTAGCTGGTATCTCGTGTGATCTATGTCACATTTTAGGATTTATAGACATACAAATTGCAATTAGTATCTTCAATTATACCGGCACCTCCCGATATGCACAACAAATCAGTTAAGTACATTTGTTGTAATTACAGGCACTCAAACCTATGTCTTGTGATAACATTCACGAATTTGCGATATTCTCAAAATATGTCATTAGAACTTTCATTTTAATATGAGTGAAATTCAAAATGTCAAATCAAAATAGCGCACAATTTATGAGTTTTGGCAAAAATCACAACTTTTATTTTAAATTATCTTCAAGCATGTAAATCACCAATATTTGCTGTCTTTCTACAATAAGAAGGGCATGATATTTGAATTTGCTTCAATTATCAAGCATATGCCAATCAATACGAGTATTGCCAGCCACCGAACTATTGATTTCGTTGAAAACCTGTTTGAAGTGTGGCGATAGCAGACAAAGAGTTGTTTTCGGAAAAACACTGATACAAATGATATTAAACAAGAGAACACCCCAAAAAACAATTTCACTTCCTAGTTGACCACAACTGCGCAGTGAGGAAGCGGCGGTGCGCGCATGGATGGTGAGCACACTCAGTTGAGTGGCTTGTTGCCTCTAGGCTAGACACGGTAGTCGGCGGCTATTGAGCTATGTACCTCGAGCATTGGCTATATACATACATACTTATGGCACGTAGGAGCCACATTGTGGCTATTTTCGTTATATTCCTTGTTGTTGTTGTTGTTGGAATTGAGATCACGTATAATTCGCCAAAGCAGAAGAATTATAAATTATTCCAAGTTTTGCAGACCATAAGCGGAATAATAATTACATAAATAATGGTCAAATTGCGGAGGGGGCGGCAGAATAAAATGCCGCGAAAAAACATGCGCACGTCAACTGAATGAATCGATCAAATTGATTATTCACAATATACCTGTCAATAGATTTGCCACTTTGCATATTGATATTTTAAAATTTTGTTCGCGTTTTGTAGCGTTTGGGGATGCACCACAGTAGCAGCATATAGACACACATGCCAATAGATGTACCATTCACATGTAGATATGTGTACATACGTGATATAAGCGGAACCCGTGCAAACTTGCACGCACACACATGTAAGCATATACGTATATTCGCGCTCAAAAGCTGCGTGGCTATCAGTGAACTTCACACAATTAATATGTGCTGCATGCGCATGCGCAAATGCGTACAACTCTGCAGCGCCTTGTCGGCGGTTGCTGTGCCCATAAACACACACTTACGCACGCATGTAACGCATTGGAGTGCCGGTGGCGGCGACGCATTGACGTTTACAGCATATTCGTAACATGGATAGTCGTTACAAAAATACACGTTGATGAGCAGTGCATGTTTATATGCACATACATATGTATGTGTGTGTGCATTCACAGTGTGATGTCGCTAAGTTGGGGTGGTTGGCTGGTTGGTGGGTGTGCGGGCGTCTGTGGTTGGCGTTGATATTGATTCTTATGACGCTTGCCAATTTAAAAGAATGTTTGTCTACATATACATAGTATGTATGTATGTATGTGTGTTTATGCGTGTTGAGAAGTGTCTATTATTTTACAATTATTGTAGTCGTACAAATTGATGGAATTTGAAAATGCGTGCGCTGAATACTAAAATATTTCAAAATACGTATGTATACAGAGCATAGCTGATTCTTAGCTGAGTATACACATATAGGGTGATTTTTTTGAGGTTAGGATTTTCATGCATTAGTATTTGACAGATCACGTGGGATATCAGACATGGTGTCAAAGAGAAAGATGCTCAGTATGCTTTGACATTTCATCATGAATAGACTTACTAACGAGCAACGCTTGCAAATCATTGAATTTTATTACCAAAATCAGTGTTCGGTTCGAAATGTGTTTCGCGCTTTATTATCGACAAATTTTGTTCAGCGATGAGGCTCATTTCTGGTTGAATGGCTACGTAAATAAGCAAAATTGCCGCATTTGGGGTGAAGAGCAACCAGAAGCCGTTCAAGAACTGCCCATGCATCC